CGAGCGCTTCCAGTGGTGTCGTTTTCACACACCGGTGCCCCCATATAAACCTACATTTATTTGAAGCCAAACGATGCTCACCAGCTGTGTCGTTGCTCCGTTTTATGGGATGGAGTACAATGTAACGAGCGCTCTGTTACATCAACACGGGGCAATGACACTGACGTGATGGGAAACACATTGCTGAAGGCGTTATTACATCGATTGCAAAATCTTACACAAGCTTACAACAAAGTGACACGAACAATCAGCACGACCACACATATATACAATGGCAACATCAGGTGAAGACCAACTCTGCTAATCGATGCGCCTTCAGGTATTCTATATACAGGCTCCTGCTGATGAATATGTCATTTGAATTACGTAACATGTGGCGCGTTGAACGTTACCAAAGCCTACATCAGCAAAATTACCAATGTCATGGTAGTCGAAAACGTAGGTAGTGGCATATGTCGTTTATTCAAAGGCACAGGTCGTATGCCCAGATAGCACAGTATTGATATACTACACACATTTTACCATTATTTCGCCTTCACGTGTAACGACTACAATAGGTTCTTAAGACAGAATGGTAAATTTGAGAATTGTTTCGATTTGAGTGAATATGATTTTATGCCGTTTCGGCGTTAGCAAATAACCATAGGTTATATCTGACGCTGTTCGCTTCACACAGCTGATATATGTAGATAGATATGTATATAACCACGGTAGATCATTTGCGAGTGGCATACCCCAAATACATCTTTTCAACAAAACGGTTTAAATAGGATGCCACAAGATTGTTATCGAAAACTAACTGATCAATGGATAGACGCAACATTCCAATACCCCATGGAGATATCAACTTTGTCCACCTACTTGGTAACTTCGTGTTTGTTTTTGACAAGGAAATACAAATACCCCCTTTTTTATACATCGCTATAGTTAATAAATTACACATACCATTAACTTGTAATAATTTGTAACTAGATTCTTGTTACGCGTAGTAAGAAAGAACATACATACATGCCCCGTCAAGCTTGCATACAAGTTCAGTAAACTACGGATATAACGAACTCAAAGGGACTACTAATTTTAGTTCGTTATAACCGTAGTTCGTTATAAACATATATACAGCATAACTGCAGCAAATAGTCGGGACCAAAAAGTAAGTTCGTTATATCCGTCAGTTCGTTATAAGCGTGTTCCTTATAACCGTAGTTTACTGTACAATAATGGCTAATCTTCATACACACCCCGAGGATAATCGAAGCTTATTTTCCATGTACAAATGCTACAACATAGTGTTTTGGAATGCTAGTAGTCTGTCAAACAAACCTTGATACAAATATACCCAATACAGCCCATGCAAGTCTATAATGTTAGGCAAGTCTAGATTACTGAGGTATCTGAAAAGGAAAAGAGTCTCTGGGCTCCTTTATATTATATTTTTATTGAGATAATTTAACAACTGTGTAAGTTATGTTCATTTCAGAGACAAGATGTTAGTCAAGAACGCTGGGCCAGACACGATACACTGACAGCACGTCATGATATATAGCATCTGTGGTTTATAGACTGTATTTACATTTAAGAAAAGATTTTCATATCGTGTTGGTTTACTGGAGTATGAACTCTCTGAACCGTGCAAGTTAAAATCGTTTAAACGCCGGGGCTCTGGCAAACCAACACATTATGAAATTAATTTCATAAAATATATACGCTTTCTTGTTTAAGTTACTCTAAAAACGTAATTGTAAGCATGTAAAGCTAAAAAACTGTATTGACCAAAAACATCTGGGCCCCTTTGCGCAAAGCGATCTTGGCGCAAAGTCGATCATAATTCCTATTCTTTAACACTGACTTACGACCGTCGTAGCCCTGATCGAGTTGTGGGCGGGAAGCTTTAAGATCATAAGTCTCTGGCATTCAGTCTTTATTCGGTAATACTGTCCAAGTTCCCTATATGACAAAAATACTACCATTACGTTTTCACTATTAATCTCCTCTTTGTTCATATAGAGTGAAGCGAAGCACGACTATCGTAAGTTTATGTCATAGCATGGGAGTTAGGATCACCTACGATCGCTCTCTGGAAGGGACCCTGGTCCATAAACATGACTAGAATGGTTTTACTTTTAGCGTGTTCGAAAACACTGATTAAACGATATGGATAGACAGGTACAAAAATCGCCGATCCCGCAACCGATATTCATAAAATGTACATAATCCTCCATAATCTGCCTATATTTTTTAACTTAAGAAGCATTTTCCTCAATGATAGCATAAATACAGTAAACTACGGTTATAACGAACACGCTGACAACGAACTGTCGGATATAACGAACTTACTTTTTTGGTCCCGACTATTTGCTGTAGTTATGCTGTATATATGCTTATAACGAGCTACGGTTATAACGAACTAAAATTAGTAGTCCCTTTGAGTTCGTTATAAACGTACTTTACTGTAATTACATTTATTTTCAACATGTAAGAATTTATTCATCCCAAATAAACCAAGTCAGATGTCATTCAAGCTGCCACATGACACGAGTTAAAGTGTTGTCAGTTTCACGTGTCATATTCACAATATCAACGCGGTAATCCGGGATTATTATCAAGGTTAAGTTTCGAAGCGTGATAAACGAAACGAGCGATATACGATATGGATAGCACGCCCTGTCACCATGGTGACTGACTTCATGCACGTCTTTGATGTGTGTTGCTAGCATGTTTATTTATTATTTCTATCAAGTCTTGTCAGGTCTATATATATATATAATGTTGTTAATTCAGGTGAAATGAATTGTGAAACGTACTGGAATACTTAGAACAGCACAAGCACTTTCACAAAGTTAATATCATGCTTTTGTATTTAAATTGCATCGTATGAATTTGTGGAAAATTTGTCAATACTTTATTCCGAAAATAGAAACAGACCCAAACATATAGTTTAATATACAAGTATAGATTGGAAGTTTTGGCGTACCAATAAGGATGCGATTTGGGCTGGACCAGAAGTATGTTATTATTCACTTTAAGTAATAATAAACACGGGTAAACATGGGAGAGTTCGTTCGTAGATTTAGAAAACTTCCGTAATATCGCAATAGGTATTGCATACTTTAAACAGCAGGTGTTTGTGTTGTGTGATTGCGGTGATTTCGTAACCCTCAAAATGAGAAACGTCATCACCCAAATGAAAAGTAATTCCGTAACCCTGTGTAATAAATTACGTTACAAAAGCATTATTTAGATCCCGCACCATACAACATTTAACAAGAGTAAACATTAGGAGTGTATCTGTTGGTCAATTAACGATTACTCAAATATTGATCCAACACCAGCTGACTCATCTTCCCGAGGCAAGGGAGTTAACTGACTATGAAAGTCCAGTTTCCACCCTTGCCGACCATGCACGCAGGAATTATGGCGTTGTAAGGGGCGATTAACGGGATCGCGTGGTCAGGCTCGCTGACTTGGTTGATGTATAGCATCGTATCTCAAGTGGGTGGATCGATGCTCATGATGTAACATCATGTTAATCACCAGATTCGATTATTTACAGGCCGTCGTAAAGCAGCCGGAATATTGCTGAGTGCGCATTTATCAAGAAATAAAATAAAACACACACAAAAAAAACTGAACAATACTACTCAACTGATAGGGTTCCTGTGTTAGCTCACACTATGACGAAATGCGGGACACAACGACGTATATAAATGTTTACTTTTGTAAATCATGAAAAGAAGCTCAACAGCCCAAATCGCATCCTTTTTCGTACATCATCTCAAAACCTCCTCAAGACTTGTATATTAAAGATATGATTGGGTCTGTTTCTTTTTTCGAAATTAAGTATTGACAGAATTTTCCACAAAGTCATACGATGCAATTTAAATACAACAGACATGATATTAGCTTTGTGTAAATGGTCGTTATTCGGACAACATCATCTCTAACATCACTTGGGCCCACTTGCACAAAACGACTTTATGTAGCGCCATGATGATCGTAACTCCCATACTTGAACATTGGCTCACAATGGTCGCTGCACTAAAATCCCTTTGTGCAAGTCAAGTGGGCCCTTGACACGCATCCCCCGTCAAATATTTTGTGTATACAACACTTTGAATAACAAATTGTATAACACGTTATATATAACACATTATATAATTCTTTGTACAAAAGGCAAAAGAATGAAAGAGATACGCATCAGTCGGAAAGCGCACGTTAAATCTCCAAAGTAAGTAAGTAAGTAAGAGATATCGCTTTCTGCCGCATCATCAATTTTGCAATCATAATTGACTAAATATGGGAGGTCGACCGTGGCTACCACACATATGAAAGAAAGTATGTTTAAAAGAACGCCCAAGCTGTTAAAAAGATACCATGGTCTATTGAGAGTCCATAGTACTGCACTGGGCGGAATAGTTAGGCCTTCGTTAGGTTGAGCCACGGATTCTATATACGTCTTTGGTTGAGCCTATGAATGTGTACATTTGCCGACGTAAACAAATGCGTTAAATCGATGAAAGGGACGGTTTCGCCTGTATAGTTAGCTTGCAAAAACTTAAAGAAACCGGTCGAAAATATGTCACTACTTTTTAAAACCCCAAGCCAAAAGTTGTAGTGATGAGAAGAAAGTGTCAGTTCTGAGACAGTACTTGACAATGACAGACTGTCAACATGGACTCGCTTTAAACTAGGATGACTTTGTGTTCAAATATAGTCCTAACAATCTTCATATTAATTTCCTTCGAAGAAGGAAGAGAAATAACTATACAATCAATCCCAGTACAATACACGCAGTGCAGATATTTCCGGCACAGCACATTTAGAAAGCATGTCCGTTCCTTCATTGTTCGGCGATCACACATCACCATGGCTCGGGCAATGCGGGATATTTCAAAATTCAGTCGATTGTGTGACGTGAGGTTTAGCTTCAAATCCTAGCAAAAGAACTTCATATACCACACAGCTCATATACACTCCACATCTCGCGCTAAAACATCCCCTACCTTGATAATAGTTGATGTTCCCAGGCGGCTAAATTCGCCACAGTTGTCGCTCGCTGACTCGCCGGCAGTGAATGTTTCCCGACCTGCCTGGTGGGCCTTTTGTCGGCGAAGCGTGACCAATCTCTTGACCGTGACGTCACGTGATACGAACTGCACTCCACATTAAACCTGGATTACGTGCGCTTGTGTTAAAAGCACAACTAGTCTGAGTAAAACAAAATATTGCGACAATGGCGGTAATCAACCGATGAGTCGTCTGCACTTGCGCAGTGATGTCGCACATTAACTCTCTCGTTATAAGGCGGTATCGATTCTTTGTTCTGTCAGACAAAACGAGTTCTCGTCTCAGGATGTCATAGAAACAGCCCGGAAACGTTCTAACATGGACCTGTTATTGCGAAACACAACAAACACGACTGTTTCTGCATAACTGTTGGCGATAGCGTTATAATGAATTGTTCATTGGCCAGGCGCGTTTGTTTATATCTGACATCACAATCCGGATTGTTTCTATGCAGATGATGGAAATACGAGAAGATTGTTCAGTTGCAAATATAATTTTTAATCCGACTAGGACTTATAGCCTCCGTTAAGCACAATTCACGTCTAAACGTAAAACCCAATAGCGGGTTTATTTCGGCCGAGACAAATCCCATTCTGTTTAATAATATTGTTTGTTGTTTAACGCCGCACTCAGCAATATTTCAGCTATATGAGGGCGGTCTGTAAATAATCGAGTCTTGACCAGACAATCCAGTGATTGATTTCATGAGCACGCAACCCACGCAAATACGATGACATGCATGAACCAAGTCAGCGAGCCTGACCACCCGATCCTGTTAGTCGCCCCTCACGACAAGCATAGTCGCAATTTACGGCAAGCATGGGTTTACTTGAAGACGTTTACTTGTCCCCGGATCTTCAGGGATCCTGTTTCATAACAATGTAGCTGATTCCAGCGACAAGTAACATTAGTATATTCTTGAAAAAAGTGTGATTATGAAATTATAAAAAAAGAAGAAAAGAAACAAATACATTCTGGTTATTAATTATAAGGACACTTTTTCCGAGGTAACACGTAATATAATATTATCACACCTACACCAAATTTAGCAATATTCTAGAAATATATTGACCGGGACACTTAAACCAGTTATATATATTGTATCGTCACCTCCCGTAAGTGATTAAATGCGAACGTGCGTGCGTGCGTGCGAGAGTGCGTGCGAGAGTGCGTGCGTGCGTGCGTGCGTGCGTGAACATTTCGAAGGATATTTTTAGTGAAGATTGTGCGCACAATTTCAATACCCTTATCGGCGGAATGGCTTTTTTTCATTTAATATGTATAGGCACACATGCAGCAATCTTCGTTTTTTAATCATCGCGATTCTATTTTAAGTGACTAGAGACCCGTGAAGATCCGGTTTAGAATAGGTCTTCAGCAACCCATGCTTGCCATAAAAGGCGACAATGCTTGTCGTAAGAGGCGACTAACGGGATCGGTTGGTCAGGCTCGCTGACTTGGTTGATGCATGTCATCGAATCCGAATTGCGTGGATCGATGCTCAGTGTACTATAAAGTGTAATACTTTACATTTATACACAAGGTTTCAACGACGCCTGTACCCGTACCCGTACCTGTGTCTGTACCTGTGCCCGTGTCTGTGTCTGTACCTGTGCCTGTGCCTGTACCTGTACTTGTACCCGTACCCGTACCTGTGCCCGTTCCTGTGTCTGTGCCCCTGCCCGTGTCTGTACCCGTGCCCGTTCCTGTGCCTGTACCTGTACCTGTACCCGTACCTGTGCCCGTTCCTGTGCCTGTACCTGTGCCTGTGTCTGTACCTGTGCCTGTACCTGTATCTGTACCCGTACCTGTGCCCGTTCCTGTGTCTGTGCCCCTGCCCGTGTCTGTACCCGTGCCCGTTCCTGTGCCTGTGTCTGTGTCTGTGTCTGTACCTGTGCCCGTGCCTGCGCCTGTGTCCCTGCCTGTGTCTGTACCTGTACCTGTGTCTGTGCCTGTTCCTGTGCCTGTGTCGACATCGACCCCTACAGCATTACTGAGTCTAAGGTAGGCGCACACGTGGTTGAGAGCAGCATAAACATCGATCAACGCCATCGGGGCACGATGGTACACATTCAGCCATGTCCAGCATTTGGCGCGAGGATCCCCACCCCTGCACGTGACGACCGCGGTTCGAACCCAGATATGTTATATTCCCAATACTACAACATTAACAGTCATCATTCATGATGCCGTCGGATCTATAAATGAACGGGTAATCAGATACCAACGTGATCAGTTTGTAAACACGATCAGCACATATGTTATGGCAGATTTGTAACAATAAAATGGACACACAAGGTATCGTGAAATAGGATTCTGCACGAGGACAGTACGACGTGACCGCATTCACGTGGGAAGCATTACAACGTACATGACATCACTTTGTCATGTGACATTCATCCATCTGAGGTTTTACGCCGTGGCATTCATATTGTTCTTCAACTATCTGCACTATATGACGCATTATTGCACTACTTGATGCGTTATTGTTTATTTATCTACACTATGTGTTGCATTATTATTTTATTATCTGCACTATATGTTGCATTGTTATTTTACTATCTGCACTAGGTATTGCATTATTATGTTATCATCTGCACTATATGTTGCATTGTTATTTTACTATCTGCACTATGTATTGCATTATTATTTTATTATCTGCACTATATTTTGCATTTTTATGTTATCATCTGCACTATGTATTGCATTATTATTTTATTATCTGCACTATGTATTGCATTATTATTTTATTATCTGCACTATATGTTGCATTATTATGTTATCATCTGCACTATATATTGCATTATTATTTTATCATCTGCACTATATGTTGCATTGTTATTTTACTATCTGCACTATATATTGCATTATTATGTTATCATCTGCACTATATGTTGCATTATTATTTTACTATCTGCACTATATATTGCATTATTATGTTATCATCTGCACTATATATTGCATTGTTATTTTATTATCTGCGTTATATGTTTTATCATTTTATTACCTGCACTATATGTTGCATTATTATGTTATCATCTGCACTATATGTTGCATTATTATTTTACTATATGCACTATGTATTGCATTATTATGTTATCATCTGCACTATATGTTGCATTATTATTTTACTATCTGCACTATATATTGCATTATTATGTTATCATCTGCACTATATATTGCATTGTTATTTTATTATCTGCACTATATGTTGCATTATTATGTTATCATCTGCACTATATGTTGCATTGTTATTTGATCATCTGCACTATATGTTGCATTATTATGTTATCATCTGCACTATATGTTGCATTATTATGTTATCATCTGCACTATATGTTGCATTATTATGTTATCATCTGCACTATATGTTGCATTATTATGTTATCATCTGCACTATATATTGCATTATTATGTTATCATCTGCACTATATGTTTTATTATTTTATTATCTGCACCATATGTTTTATTATTTTATTACCTGCACTATGTGTTTTATTATTTTATTATCTGCACTATATGTTGCATTGTTGTTTTATGATCTGCACTATACATGGCATACTTATTTTATTATCTGCAATAAATGTTGCATTATTATTTTATTATCTGCACTATGTGTTGCATTATTTTATTATCTGCACTATATGTTGCATTGTTATCTTATCATCTGCACTATGTGTTGCATTATTTTACTATCTGCACTATGTGTTGCATTATTTTATCATCTGCACTATCACGCCGAAGACCCGGGTTCGATTCCCGACAGGGGTACAATGTGTGAAGCCCATTTCTGGTGTCCCCCGCCGTGATATTGCTGGAATATTGCTAGAAGCGGCGTAAAACCATACTCACTCACACACACTCATCTGCACTATATGTTGCATTAGTGTTTATTGTGCGACCTTTCAGATCTCTTACTCTGATCGGATGCCTCTCTTCAATGCAATCTGAGTACAACACAGACGGTCGAGTCGGGTGAACTCTGTCTGAATGTTCACCGCCCAATCAATAAGAAGGGTGCCTGGGTTTTTGACCAATAAGCTGTCAGCTTTCTAAAACGATTCGGCTTCATTTTTATCCCAGCTTGGTTTGGAAATTCTGATTCGTACAAATGAAAACCCACGCATGACACAACTGTCCCTTTCATCGCAACACGCTGCGCCGAGTTCCAGAATCCAATGATCGTGTCTGAGTTAACACAAGCGACCAAACACATTAAAAAGCCATAACAAAGCTCTGCCAAAGTACGCCGTACGATATCATTCGCATGTGTGTACGAATCACTATCAAATACGAAAAGGTATCCTTACCCAAAGGTGGCATCGGTCACAAACACATGTAAAGGTAAGTCAAGTGTTCACCTGAAAAACATCTCGAAATAGGCAGTTTCATAGGACTTTATCTTGGTCAGCGATTCATCAAATTTGAAAATGCCCTCAACACTTCTACCATGTAACGTTTTGAAAGCATTAACTAAAGCCTTGCATGTTGTATACCTGATTGAGCAACTTACGAGAGTCGTACCACAGTGGCTAAGCGCTGTCCATGCCAAACCCGAAGTTAGTAGGTAGCAACTAGTCAATATTTTGAAGTAAATCTAACGTATATCATGCACCGAAGGGCTTCCGGATCACAATCGTTACACCATTATATACGACACCCAATAATAAATTCAATATGTTTACTTTATTTCTGGTGTCATCTGGGGCGATAGAGACGAATCGAAAACCAGGTGCTTTTCAGCGTGAAAACGGCATTATAATTTCATACCATCGTGCGTTTGTGTCAATTGTTATTAGGCCGTTGTAGTTGGTTGGTTTATTGTTTAACGCCGCACTCAGCAATATTCCAGCTATATGACGGCGGTCTGTAAATAATCGAGTCGGAACCAGACAATTCAGTGATTGATATCATGAGCATCGATCTACGCAATTGGGTTATGATGTTGTAGGATTTGTATCAATGTATAACCTTTATGTGAGTGAGTGAGTGAGTTGGGTTTAACGCCGCTTTTAACAGTATTCCAGTCATATCGCGGCGTGTCAGCTTAATGTGGGAGGAAAGCCCGAAGTGATGCAGGTCTCAGACGTTTACCACTTCGGTGAAACCCACGAGCACGGGTATGGTGCTGACAAACCTAGAAACATAATCGGAGCGAACCGGGATTCGAACCCACAATCATAGGTTTCTGGCGTGCCCAA